GCGTTTCAAATTGAAAATGTTTCCATCGTAAGGTATTTGAGAATATCAGATAACTGTAATAAATGTAATAAAGTTCCCTGTCTCTAGAGGGATTTTTTCCCCCTTTTGTGTTGTTACTTTAGAAGATGAAACAACATTTTTGTTCAATAGGAAACCAGCATCATCCTTGCTCATTTGAGGCCATTTCTGGTAGCTTACTGATAGTCATTCATATCTAAATGCAATAGTCACTTTGAAATGCAAATTGTTAAAGAAAAATAGCATATGGTGGAGGTAAGTACTTTCCCCCCCCCCCCAAATCATCTCCTACACTTTAAGGATGTGAGCATAGCAAAAATTATTCTTTGGAAAGAAATCTTGGGCCTTTGACACATTGAAGCTTGAACTAATCAAGGCTTCTCCGCCAGCATATATGCATATCCATATCAAGGCCCCAGTGCTGAAAACATGCGGATTAGCATAGTAATTTAACTGCCCCCTGCTAATCAACTAAAGCAAGCAGATGATGCGTGCATGATGCATTTGTAAAGGCACTCTTTCAGAACCCCAAATACGCCAGGTAGTTGACCGTGTATTTTATGTTAATTCTAATGAAGGGAGAAAGTGAGACAGATGCTGAAGTGCTGCTAGCCTTTGCATGTAAGATTTTGACGTGACGAGAACCACTTCACAATGAGATCTCTCCTGTGAGATGCAGAATCCCATTAAGTGGCTGATTCATGCTCTGGCTGACCAGTCTGTTATGCTCCAAGTAGAATATCGGTGGCAGAGAAATAAAAAAGTGTTGCATAAATATGGGGTTTTTTTTAAAAAAAAAATCCTTATTGAAGCTCACTTCCAAAAGAAGTGTTTTGTGGGAGCTTCGTGATGGATAGAGGAGACGATCAGCAGAAGTCATTAAAAAATGACTTGGTGTTATGATAATAATTTTGGTCTGTTTCATGGGATGGACATAGCAGGCATACACATAAAGTAAAGCTGAAAATAAAGTGTAAACGTCACCTAATAGCATGTTCTAGCTCAAGATTTTCTCCAGTGCAGGTTCCAGAGATTACTTTGGAATGCAAGATTATCTGTGCTTGCTGCATAGAAGATAAAATTGATACAGATGTATGGGTCCCATCACTTGTTCCCATGTGATCCCTGTGCAACTTAAGATGGCCAATTTTAATTGACCCCCACATCCTGCGGTCTTGTGTGGGCAAAGGGAATGGACCAAAACTTGCTTAGTTTGCAGAACAGTTGGACCCAAAGCCTGTGTTGCTGGAGACTGACTTTAGCAAAGGCAATGTGTAGGTATTGATTCATATCCCAGCTTATCTCCTTAGACTCAAGGTGGCTAACAAAGTAATAACAAGCTACAAACACACTTCATCAACAAAATAAAAACACAGCTGCATTTTTTCCAATTAAAACTTCTGAGATTTCTTCGAAGGCCTCTGTATTTTTTTTAAATTCTATTTTATTATATTTGTATCCTACCCTTCCTGCAAGCAGGCTCAAGGCGGGTTCCATCAATATTAATACAGTTTACAATAGCAATTAAAACAACAAATATGTAACATGCTGCAGTAGTTCAATTTGGATTTCAAGGTAGACTATGGTCCAGCATGGCTAGGTCACCACAGTAAGGGTGCCTTACAATGTTACAAGATGGTGCTCTTAGCAATAGGAGCAACCTGTTACCCAACAAGAAGACCAGGTCCAAGAGTACCCGCAAGCTTTTTTGGGGCTACCAAAGAAAGCCAGTTTGGTGTAGTGGTTAAGTGAGTGGACTCTAATCTGGGAGAACTAGGTTTGATTTCCTGCTCCTCCACTTGCACCTGGCTGGATGACCTTGGGCAAGCCATAATTCTGGCACAGCTGTTCTTGAAAAAGAGCAGTTTCTGTCAGAGCTCTCTCAGCCCCACCTACCTCACAGGGTGTCTGTTGTGGGGAGGGGAAGGGAAAGGGAAAGGAGTTTGTAAGCCGCTCTGAGACTCCTTTGGGTAGTGAAGGGCGGGGTATAAATCCAATCTCTTCTTCTTTTCTTCTTATCCCCACCTGGGTCTGGTAGTTCAGCACCAGCCCAACATTGCTGCGTTTCCAACCAGTACCACCTCCATCCTATCTGGATTAAAGTTCAGTCTGTTTACCCTTGACCACAGCCTCAAGATACTGGTCCAGGACCTTCACAGCTGCTTCCAAAGGCTTGGATAGTGATATATAAAGCTAGGTGTCATCCACATATTGGTGACAACCCACTCTGAAGCTCTGAATGATCTGGACCAATTTGGTGTAGAGCCAGTTTGGTGTAGTGGTTAAGTGCGCGCGCTCTAATCTGGGAGAACCGGGTTTGATTCCCCACTCCTCCACTTGCACCTGGCTGGGTGACCTTGGGCAAGCCGTAGTTCCGATAAGAGCTGTCCTTGAAAAAGAGCAGTTTCTGTCAAGAGCTCTCTCAGCCCCACCTACCTCACAGGGTGTCTGTTGTGGGGAGGGGAAGGGAAAGGAGTTTGTAAGCCGCTCTGAGACACCTTTGGGTAGTGAAGGGCGGGGTATAAATCCAATCCTCTTCTCTTCTTAATGTAAAGGTTAAAGAGCCTTGGGAATAAAATGGACTCTTCTGACACGTCACACATCAGGTCCCAACTGTCTCTTCCATGGAAATTCTGTTTCTGGCCAACAAGAAAAGAACAAAACCAATGGAAGGCTGTCATTTTTGTTTTATCCCAAACATTGATTGCAGTATATCCACCAAATTACCATAATTGACTGTTTCAAATGCTGCTGATAGATCCCAGCAATATCAGCACTGATGAACTGCTCTTATCTAGTTGTACTTAGGGATCAACCCAAGCCAGTAATCCTGTTTCAATTCCCAAGTGTGACCTGAAGCCAGCCAGAAATTGGTCAAGGGCAGATACTCCATCCAAAAATGTTTGCAGCTGTTCTGCCACAAACCTACTCAAGAGGGGAACCTACCCAAGAGGGGAACATAGGTCAATAATTGATTGCATCCCTCTCATTCAATTTCTTAAGAAGAAGTCTAATCACAGTTTCTTTCAGTCCTGTTGGTAAGAGGGGCATATTAATAATCTTCCCCAGGAGAGTTTCCACTTCCTCCTGTCATGATTTCAGTAGCCGGGATGGGCATGGATCCGGTTTGCAGAAAGGGGCCTTCGCAACCCCAAGCATTCCATCAACATCAGTCAGGGACACCAGCCTGCAACTATCCATGAAATACTGGCAAGAGATAAACTGTATTCCTTGGTTTGTATTTATTTATTACGGCATCGAACCAACATAACCATAACACGTTAGGATACAGAGTTTTTAAAATCTGGGTAAAATGCAGTAATATATATATCATAAAAGTATTTGACAAATCCAGTAAGAAATATAAAAGGCAAATACAATTTTATAAATTTAGCCGCACCTTTCTAATATGATAGCATGCCACCCAAAATTTAGTCGCAGATTCAGTAATAGTCCGAGACTTCGTATTCCTTGGTAGCCAGAGATATACATACGTATCAGCAATACAATGCTCTTCGCACAAAATTGACTTGGACAGCTATAGTTCTTTGGTGGTTAATAATATGATAATCTCATATGATCTCATTTTTAGAAGTAGTAATGCTTATATTAACCTTGTTGAGTATTCTCAAATCAGAAGCTTTTTCCAAACAAAACAAGGGTTTTCTACCAAATAATATTTCTGAATCTGAACGCTTTCTTACTCAAATTCCAAAACATACTGCAACAAGGATGTATTCTATATTATTGAATGTAAACTTACCTCTTATGGGTTCTTTTCAACTTAGCTGGAATAAGGATCTCGGCAAAGAGCTTGATGTCAGGATTTGGGACTTTACCTTTTCTTTTGGGTCTTCTTTCACTTATGCCTTACTTTTAAGGAAAACCTTGTTAAAATGACTCATCAGCTTCATCTTACCCGAAAGATCATAGCAAAGATTTACAACTTATGTTCAGGTTCCTTTTTGTAAGGCTCCGGGAGCTGACTTTATGCATATGTGATGGTGGTGGTGCTGTGAGCAAAAATTCTACTTTGTGAGCTACTGGCATTAAAGTTGTGAGCGAACGATTTGGCTGCTGCATAAATTAGTTTGCTCTGGAGCCATCTTTCCTGAGCTAAGACAAAAATGTGTGAGCCAGAGGCTAAAAATCTCTGAGCTAGCACACAGCAACTCAGCTTAGAGGGAACACTGCTCTCGAGCAAAATAGTATTGAGTGAGGATTACTGAATTGATCAGTAATGGCCTTGTTAGAGAAGTTCCTATGATTCCAGAATTACTTTTGCTTAATTATGCAGCTATATTTCAGCCTTTTCTTTTAAATTTAATCATGGCAGCTAGACATTTGTACTCAAGATACTGGAAATCAAATCCCCAAGGTTCATGAATGGGTTGGCAAAATCAAGAATACTTCTGCCATAATGAAACATACTCTTTTATTGAAAGGACAGTGTTCACAACAATTTGAAACCATTTGGGCTGGCCCATATTCAAACATCTGTGTAACGCTAATTCTATTATTTAGAAGTATTGCTTTTTGCTTCAGAGTATTTTTATCGAACGTATTTTTATTATTTAGAAGTATCGTTTTTAGCTTTAATTTAGGAGGTTCTTTTTGTTTTTGCTTTGTTAGTCTCTTTTTTTGTCCTGTTATTTTAATTCACCCCTTCGAGTGAATGATGTTCTGTTGTTTCTGTGAAGTATGCTATAAAAAAATTAAAGATTGCAGAGAAAAAAAATTCCAATTTAGTCTGGATCCAAACCAGTGTCTTCTGTTGACAATAATGGAAGGAACAGAACAAAGCTTAAGTCCAACAAAGTTTAATTCTGGGTATAAGCTTTCATGCACCCACCTGAATCTATCTTAATGGCAGCAGAAGTTATTATTATGTACTGGGAGATTAATTCTTGGCTCTGTCCACAAAGATTTCTGAATGTGAATTTATTTTCCGCTTTCAGTAACGTTCCATCTTTTCTTTTTAGGGAACGTGACTACTAGCACCTCTGTGTCTCAGATGACGAGTGGCATCAGTCTTGTTTCCTTCAACAGTCGTCCTGATGGGATGCATCAGAGATCCTACTCTGTTTCCAGTGCTGACCAGTGGAGTGAAGTGACAGTCATTGCAAACTCAGGCATCAGTAGTGGTAAGAGGCAATGGTAGACTCCACCTCCCCCCTGTATTTTTAGTTAACAAATGTATGAAGTACCTTTCCCACAGTTAACAAGGCCAGGTAGCGAGGAGAGATAAGAAACATTGCAAAACATTCTATTGTCAAAAAGGTGTTTGGAGTACATCTTGTATTTGCACTCCAAGGGGAGATGCATAGCACAAATAGTTATAAGATCATTGCTTACGAGGGGGTTTTGCCTAATGTGCAGTAGTTATGCAAAGGGAGTAAGATTTTTTCATGTTTGAGGAAAGGCAGTGTCGAAGATAAAGGTGAGTTTTGGAGAGGGAAGCTTAAGCATATGAAGATCAGGGGAAAAGAAAACAGTCAAGGTCCCAAGTTTGGGCAAGAATTCAGGATGTGGATACTGGACAGCCCTTATTGTGCTCCAGTCAGTAATCTGTCTCTTTCTATTCCTCCCACCAGCCAAAAATGCATTCCTTTTCACCCATAAGCTCAAATATCTCTCTGCTTCTGCCAGCCAAAGTTAAGCCCCCTTCTGCCATGTGATGAAACTGCGGGGCAGTGTTTTCTACATTTGCAGCCTACTCTGTCCAGAAGTCCAGGGGATGTGAATTTGTCAAAAGTTTATGTTAAAGGCAAAACACTGCTTGTTATTTTAATGAAGTGGGTGCACATATGCAGAAGTTCAGAGAGCCAAAATCGGACAACAGGGTGTGACATGAGGGGACCCCTGTGGCCAGTGGGGAACCATGCCCAAGTTATGGAGGAAGGTCTTGTTGATTGAAAATAAAACTGTGCATCACCCTGCCTTGGGGAGGTGGAAGCAATCCATATGCTACACATGCTGAGTTCGATGATTCTGAAGGGGCAACAGTAGTTGCTCATCCTTCCTTATTATATAAAAGCCAGTTGGGGTGGCAAGATTCTATGCCTGGCAAAATCAGTTGGCTCCGTGATGTGTCAATCACAAGGTGTCTCTATCCACTGGCTGTGTTGCTTGAGTTCTCTCCCACCTACTGCAGCCTAGGCCACTCTTCTCTGATTGGGCCAGCGTTTCAAGGTCATTTGCATATGGAAGCTGATTGGACTTCACTCCATTCCGCACCTCAAACTCTCGTCCCCCCGCGACACAGCTGGAACTGTCAGTTGCATATGCGACCTGGTGTCTTTTGCGAGAGACCTGAGAGCGCTTCAGGGGATGGTGTGC